CCCCAAAACCCCAAAACCCCAAAACCCCAGGGAGATAGATTAGGATTGAACCATAGATTTTATGTCTTAATGTTTTCTTGTGAAGTGTCTAGCTTAGACTCTTGCAACTCAATTTCTTCATTACTTTTAGTGGTGAATACAACTCAGGACAAGTAGTAGATTAGTGAGTAAGCAATGAAGAATATTCCAATAGAGGTAGCCACGTTTCGGAAACCTATTATCTCAGTCATATAACTACCATAAATAGGACTCACAGTTTGTCCCAGTGCTAGTGCAAAGTTAAATACACCTGAGGAAAGATCTGCAGCATAAATTTTTTGTTCTGGATATCGCTCTTCAGCATCATGGATCATTACAGGTAATGAAAGCACACAAAAGAAGAAATTAGAGACTCCATTCATCAATTGGCCTATTCCCATCAGTATCAAGCTATCTGGTAAAAATGTACTTGGGCCAATCAAAAATTGTGCTAATCCTCAAATGAAAATTGTCACCACAATAATAATCTTTGAATCGTATTTATCTGTAAAGAATGAGAGAGTCCAGCTCAGAGCTAGATAACCAGAGGGATCAATACAGAAAAAGAGGAGAATCTCAGAAGTAGAAATGTCAAATTCCTGTAGTCTTGTAGGAAGCACTGGCTCAAAATAGCTATACGAATAATACGATAATCATGCTCAAACAGCAGACAATGTAAATACTTTCCTTTTAAATAACTCTGAATATGTTGCTTTGATCACTGGGGAAGACTTGCCAACTTCTTCAACTTCTTCGTCTAGGATACTTTGCTCTAAGTTGTCATTTTCATTGATAGCGTTTGGAATTTGAATGTACATTAAAGGACACGTCAAAATCATAGAACCCCCAAGAATATAAAACGTCCAATGAAATCCGAAGAGTGAGTAAAGAATAGCTCCGATAGCTGGACCTATCGCCCATCCAAATCCCTGCGACCCTTCGTAGTATCCCATGTACTGCTGCTTCTTTTCTTTGTAAATCACAGAGATAATTGAGTATCAAGTCGTCTGGATCATACTTGAAGTAAACCCTTGTACGAATCTCGACACAAGGCAAAAGAATACAACTAATGATGGATCGTCAAGATAACTTATTGTTGAGAAAAGTGCCATTCAAAGTCCCATGATGAATATTCCAAGCAATAATATAATCTTTCTACCAAACACGATCATTATTTTGCCGACCAACAAAGAACCAATCATTGAGGCAGCAGAAAACATTGCAAATATGAATCCGAAAGTGGATGGTTTGATGCCATATCTGCCAAACTCAAGCGGCAAGAATGGAAATACAACCATGTATCAGATATTGGATAGAATCGACACTGTCAGCATGCCTACAAATCCTTTGAAGTTCATTTTAGCTTGTCTCGAATCAAAATTATTTAATCTAAATTGTTCAGCAATCTTGTGATACCACTAGGGGTTTTGGGGTTTTGGGGTTTTGGGG